TAAGAAACACCTTCCCTGTGACTATCCACTCGGCTGTGGTAACTAGCTCACAACTGATTGTGGGCTCGAATGCATCGTTACGAGTTCTCTTGCATCGTTACGAGTTCTCTATTTGATCCCAGAGGTATACGGTAATCAGATTAAGAGGAACTAGTTCGAAATCGGCATTATGAATCATTTATTTCTGAATTCACTGCTGCAATGAGTCGAGCGCGCTGTCGACCAAATTCTCAGTACACAGTTCCCATACGATGACCTTTTCCAGGGTAGCAACGATCCAGACATGCTTGGGTGAAGCAACATACCTGAAACGATGATGGAAGATGGTGCTCTGTAAACCTTTGATCGACAATTTTGAAAAAAAAGTGCTGGAAAATATAATATGGCAGATAGGATACATTCTGCTTCACGGTGCTGCAAAATGGAAAATAATGGCCGCGCGCGGTCGCGTCGCGGCACCGCACTTCGCATTGAGAGATGGTGGTGTGCTGTTTGGATGTGTGATTGGCACTCTCGCTACGAATATGGAAATTCTGAAGTATTCTGCTAGCCACCCACTCCCTCTCCCTCCCCCGCCGACCATATCACACTGGTCGGAAACCGCATCGCAACCCTTGTGTTGTCTAACAGAACCGAACTGAAGTCAGTCGGGGCTTGTCAGCGTTGCATAAATTTTGGCAGAGCACCAGTCTTTTTCGCTCTGCTTATTGAACGCTTGAAGCCGCAATAATCGGTGAAAGACGGGCTGGCGCCGCGCCAAAACCCACGCCCCACTGACACGCCCCGACTGGCATGCAATTAAGTTAATCTATTCCACATCAACTATTCGTCGTACTGTTGTGATAAACTGGTAGGGCACCTAAAGATGAACCACTTCCTTCCAACTTCTACCAGGTGCGCCAGAATATTCAAACAAAAGAAAATTTAGATTGGCGTTCAGCACGACGGTATTATCACTGAAGTCGTGCTAGCACAGCACGCGACGCAACTTCCAAGTCGTCTAACTCGTCCGGATCACTCAAATACTGGACGTTCCAGAGTGGCGGCCTCAGCAGCGTTCAGACTTCACGATGACGCGCGTCAGCAGGCGACGACGCTTACGCACCGAATTATCGATCAGCACTGCCGTGGCGGCGTCGATCGATTGCTGCGTTCGCGTCTACAGGACTGAAGCGCCGTTGCAATTCCAGCGCGCTTCAGAGCGTCGTCGCCCGCTGCGCGTCATCGTGAAGTCTGAACGCTGCTGAGGCCGCCACTCTGGAACGTGGGATCGGGTAACGTGTATCCTCCAGTCCACAAGCGGTGCCGACCGATTGCCATCCGCGGCTGTTCTCGTTTGTAGGATTGGAAATGCGGCGCGTTACAGCTCATGGTCGCGCGTCACAGCGCGACGACGCGCATCAGTACGAATTCTAAACGCTGCCTTAGACAATGCCGCTGGCGTTGCCGCTCCTGCCTCTCAATCAGTACTTTACTTAATTAGCAATCAAAAAACCAGGTAGTTGAGTAACACGAACGAGTTACTCTACTTCGGAATTGAGTCGTATGACGTGTCATGACAATTTGGTCACAATTGGGCTATATAACGAAAACTCAAAATTTGACGTACCTTGTCCTTAGGGAACTCTCTTGAGTTGCATCCACCCTTGCTTGCACAGCACGACGCCTTGAAAGAGTGTGCTGAATCAAAGAGTTGATATTGACTGATCTCCAACCAATATTGATTAGTTGTGAACGTACCATTGCTTGCCAGACAAGTGTTGCGCTCACCAGGATACTTGCAAAACATTTCCATGTACTTATCAAATTTTTCACATGACGTCGCTGTGCCGACCAGAGCGCCGACGAGCAGAAGAAGGCAGAGAACGGCTTTGATAGGGTGACACACTCATACTGACTGACACGCCCAACCGTCCGCAGAGAACTAGAGTGTATGTACGCGAGATTGGGTCGCATACACCCTGGTCGTCTGCGCTCTGCTGGGGATGAGCTTGAGAGAAAGAGAACAGGCCACCGCGTCTCCTCCCGATACGTTCACACCACGAATTCTACTATAAGCTACTAGCTGATCTCACATAAGAATTAGCAAGAGCTGGAGACGGAGAAGATGAGGCAAGGAAATGGTAAATAGGAAAAAAAAATAAGAAAAAAACACTTAAGGGAAACTGATACATTTGGATCCAGTTGCAAATGCAGGAAAGAGTGAGGGGACCGTGAATTTCGAAAATTTTGTAGAGTCGTTACAGTAATTCACCCTTTCGCCATAATATTCCCTACAAAGTAACCGAAAAGGGACCTGAGGGATGTAGAAGGAATTTGGAAGACTGTAAGAATGCGAGGGAGACTGGAACGATGGACGCACAATAGCGCCAAATTCAATGAGTTATACTGAAAGATTACCAGAGCCGCAGTTGATCGTCTATTGGAAGCTCACTGAGGCAGGATCGTGGACGTGTTATAGCCCAATTGAACAGCTGACAGCCCTCAAACAAATCCCGATCACTTCTCGGATCAAGTCCACACAACAAAGCAGCCACAGAACATCTTTCTATCCGACTCTGGGAAAGAAAAGCAGAACGCTGCTAGATATGGAGCTAGAGCTAGCTTGCGGGAAAAGCCGTTCCATGGTCCCTTGAAAGGCGCTATGTATTCGCTT